GGTGGGATGCATACCCACCCTGGTCTCTGTCTCTCGCGCGTGCTCACCCGGCCTCAGGGAAGGTAGGGATAGGCCCGGGTACCAGAAACCACCCCGAAGCCCAGACTCCGCACAGCCAACAGACATTTCCTGAGAGACTGGCTGGGTCTGACACTCAGCGAGGCTCTGGAGACACCGGGGAACAAAACAGTCACCGTCCTGAATCACAACTGCGGTGAGGGTTAGGAAATAAGAACAGGAACTCGGAGGGACCTCACTGACGAGGGTGGGGACAGCAGGACAGGTCACAAGCCAGCCTCGCTGAGGAAGTAGCAGTTTACCCTAAACCCTTTCATTGAGGTGGGTGAGGACGGCAGGAAGTGGGGAGCAGCCCAGGTCTGAGACCTCAACACCAAAACCTCCAGGCTGGAAGGAAGGGCAGTTCAAGAACTGAAAGCAAGACGGTGCCTCGGAATGGCAGGGAGGTTGGCAGCTCGAGAAGTTGCAAAGGCCCGCGGAGACCAGCCGAGCCTTACCCAAGGGAGGAACAGCAAAACCCCACACCTGGGTGGGCGAGACGGTACAGCGGGGAAGGCTGCACGCTGGCGACTTGATTTCAATCCTCGGCATCACATGTGGTTCCCCGAGCAGCACCAGGAGTGATCCCTCAGCACTGAGCCAGGAGTCAGCCCGCAGCAACCCTGGGTGCCCCCTCCACCCAGCCCCCAAACAAAACCAAACAGATCCCAAACCTGCTGCGGTCAGTGGGAAGTCACATGACCAGGGATTCCAAGGACTCGCCTCGTAAGTTAAACAATGAACATGAAGGCGGTATGAAGAAGCCCAGTAGGTAAATAGGAATTGGGGGAGGGGGGATGTAATGAGAGGTCTGATATATATATATATATATATATGAAGGTTACAAGTGGGTTGGGAGATCATTTAAGTCCTTCCCAAAGTGAACATTCAAGGAGTAGAAAAAGGTGAAAAGGAGGGGGCTGGAGTGATATCACAGCGGGCAGGGTGTTTGCCTTGCATGTGGCCGACCCGGGTTCGATTCCCAGCATCCCATAGGGTCCCCCGAGCACTGCCAGGGGTAATTCCTGAGTGCAGAGCCAGGAGTAACCCCTGTGCGTTGCCGGGTGTGACCCAAAAAGAAAAAAAAAAGAAACAACAGGGGCCAGAGAGATGGGACGAAAAACAGGGTACTTGCTTTGCCGCAGCAGTCACCACCCCGGTTCACTCCCTGCCACCACACATGGGGGGGGGGGGGCAGTCCCAAGCAATAGAGCCAGGAAGCTTTCCCAGGCGTGGCCCAAAGCAAAACAAAGGAATATAGGAGAGGAGGCGGGGCTGGGTAAGCTGGATGGAGACGCAAGCCTCACATGGGGTGAGCCTGGGTTCCATCCTTGGAACCGAAAAGCAAAAAGGGGGGGGGGGGCTTGCATTTCATGGGAAGAGGGCAGCCAAAGACACTGACAGGGAGGGAGAATGACACCAGCCTGAAAGGATGCTCGGAAAACGTTACCATCAGGTATTTGGCAATCCTGGGGGCAGCCTGGGGGAGGAAGCGGGGAGGCTGGGCGCCAGACTGCCAGGGACAAGCGACTGAGCCGAGGAGCGGGCAGGCTGAGCGCCGTGTGTCTTCTCGGAAAGGAAACAGGCAGCAGAGCAGCAAACACAGGGGAGAACTGAAGACTGAGACACTGGGAAACCAGCCCCAAGCCCCCGCGAGTGACTCCTCTCAGACACAGGATACTGGCTATATTCACAATACCGCGGGGAGCATTCTCCCAGAACACACAGGCATCTGACACACGAACCAACGACTCACTTTCTGTCCCATTAATCTAAGTCACGTAATTCCACTATTAAAAGGAGGGAGGAGTCTGATGTCATTACAGTGTAAACTCCGCTCCTTAGTTAACTGACATTAACAGGCATAATCCTATCCAATGTATTAGGTACACACGCATATGATGCCTGGTCCCTGGGAGGCACAGCACTGATCAGAATTTACCTTGATATCGAGGTAAAGGAACAGAGATCCACGCCACGGGCACCCATGGACAGTGGCTGCAAACAGCGGCCTCTGCGACAGCCTGACTACCCCGTAGTATGGACAGGCTGCCCTATGGGAGGTTGGAGACAGCTATTTGGGGTCGACATTCATATGTACTCTCACGCTATCCCCACTCTCAGGTTCCATCAGAAAGCCCCCCGCCACAGTGGGCAGGGCCAAGGAGTCATGTCCATCCACACTGAACTGCAGAATCAGGTGCTTGTGACTGCAGCTCCGCTCAGACCACCAGCCACCCACGGCTCCAAGAAGCTGGGCTTTACCAAGTTCAACGTGGGAACATCTTACGACAGAGTGGTTGAAAGCAGCTTGTCACTGTGTGGGATGATTCAGATCCCTCATCATGAACCTCTGGACAAATGGTGAGAGCTTCGGACCTGCCCCGGGTCCCTGTACAGCACCCCTCCCCAACCAACTCAATAAATTCACCTGCTGTCAAAAAAAAAAAAAAACTGGAAAGAAATAAAGCAAAGCTGGGCCTTAGAGCTAGAATAGACAAGGGCGCTTGCCTTGTACGTGGCTGGCCCGGGTTCCATTCCAGGCACTCCATATAGTACCTGAGCCAGGACTGATTTCTGAACACAGAGCCAGGAGTAAGCCCTGAGCACCACCAGGTGTGGCCCAAAAACCAAACAAATAAAAACAAAGCTTAGATTTTATTGATTTTTTTTTTTTGGTTTTGATTTTGGGTGACACCCAGCAGGGCTCAGGACATACTCCTGACTCTGCTCTCAAGGGATCATTCCTGGCATGGCTCAGGGGGGAACATAGGGGTTCCCATGATCAAACCCGCGTCAGCCGCGTGCCAGGCTGAAACACCTACTGGCTGAACTATCGCTCCAGCCCTTGGATGTGTTTTTGTTTAAAAAAAAAAAAGTTTTCAATTTCTAAAAAAACAATAGTGAGCCGCTTCAGTTCTTCCCTTGGGCATGGACAACGGCATCACCAGTGGCACTGCCCGTCTCGGTTCTCTCAACTTTTCACTGGCCTTTCCTCCATTCTTCCTCTGGAAAGTTGAGGCAAAACGGAAGCAGCACTGCCTTTGGGACCAGACAGACATGAGCCTAAATTTACGAACTTAAGACCTTGAACTTCCTAGTCGTGGCTCTCAGAGGTTCTTTCTACCTGCTCCACATTTCACCCAGGGAAATCGCAACTTTTTGCTTCCCATGGCCAAACCGAACGGTTCCATCCGAATGGGTTGGGGGGGGGTCACGCCTTTCCTTCAAGGATATGACATTTACACGGTCTCTCAGAAGAGCAGTGTGGGAATTTCTTTCTTCTCCACTTGCATTCCTCTCGGAAATCTCTCCGCTCAAGTCCCGAGGACAAGCACTTAAGAAAGGCCAAGAGCCCAGAGCCTCTAAAGGCACAGGGCTGCCTGGTCGCTTCGCTTGTTTGAATCATCGCTGCCTCCCAGTGGGGCAAACCCTTCGGATCTAAGCCCTGGCTCCAGCTACCTTCCCGTCCCCCCTGCTACCTACCTGCCTGCCGCCCACGGGATACACATGGACAGACAGACAGACAGACAGACACACACACACACACCAGTGGGCTGCACACCACACACACATACTAGACAATGGGCTGCATACACACACACACACCCCAGACCATGGGCTACACACACACACCAGACAATGGGCTGCAACACACACATACCCCAGACCATGGGCTGCACACAACACACACACGACAATGGGCTGCACACACACACACACACACACAGACCACAAGCTTCACACACACACACACCCCAGACCATGTGCTGCATACACACATACCCCAGACCATGGGCTGCACATGCACACACACACAAACACACACACCAGACCATAGGCTGCACATGCACACACACACACACACACACACACACACCAGACCATGGGCTGAAAGTTGTGCCTCTTCAAGCCATTTACATAACACCGACCCATCTCCAAGCCCAGATCACTGATGCTCCATCCAACAAGCCAGCCTGAAATTCTGCCAGCCACCGCCCCCCCCCCCCCAACAGACCGCCGAAGGTGATGACCTCCGGAGACACGGAAACTTTCACTGGCTGCAAGATTTTCTTTCTACCCCTGATTTTTGGAGGCTCAGCTGCGGAGGAGGCACGCATGACGTTTCCTGTACGGGCCACGGGGGGAAAAAAAAAATATATATATATATATATATATCTCGCTGGCCAAATGGAGTAGTACTCTGTCATCTGGCTCCATGGTAAGGCAAATAAATGGCCCCTCCGAACGGCGCCGGATCCCTCGCTCCATCCCTACCTGGCACGGAGCACGGGACTGGAAGAGCCGAACCGGCTAATATGCACGTTACATATGTGACAGCCACACCTACGCAATAGACCCAGAAGCCTCGAGAATGCACGGAGCCCGCGGAGCCCCGGACAGGCACCCTGTTGCCCAGAGAACCAAGGCCGGGCCGGTCCTGCAGCGTGCGGCGGGGGGCTGGCTGCCTTCTGGGGGGATGCGGGGCTCGGCGACCACGGTGCACGAGCAGGCCCGCAGCTGACGCCGGGTCGCGGGGCAACCGCGCCGAGGCCCCCGGAAGGCCTCCCCGGGCTCACACCTGCCGGTGCGTGACGCCGGGGCGGCGCGTGCCCGCCGCGTCCCTCCCGGCCCCGGCCCCCGGCCCAGCCCCGGCCCCGGCGGGAGCGCGCGCCCGCCCGCCCTCCGCCCGCCGCCGCCGCCGCCGCCCCCGCGCGCGCGCCCGCCGCTCCCGGCCCTCGGCCCGCCGCGAGCGCGCGCGCCCGTGCGCGCTCCCTCCCTCGCGGGGACACGCACACGCGGCGCCTCAGCCTTGACAGGCCGGCCCGCGCCGCGCGCGCCCGCCGCCCGCCGCGTCCTCGCCCACCCGGCCGCCCCGCTCTGACGGGCCCTCGGCGCGGGGGCGCGGCGAGGGCGGCCACGGCCGCGGCGCCTCAACTCACCGCCGAGCCGGCTCGGCTCCCGGCGCGCGGCGGTCCGCTGGGAGGCGAGGCGATGCGCGCGCGGTCCCCCGCTTCTCCGCAGGCCCGAGGAGGCGACGTAGCGAGGGGACTGAGGGGCGCCGAGGGTCACTCCCGCCCGCTTCGCCGCCCAGAAACACGGGGACCCCAGAAACTAAAAACAAAATAAACAAACTTTCCCCTCCGCCTCCCTCCCCCAAAACCACAACACAAACACTCGAGCGCCCGCCCCGGCCCCCACGCCATTGGCCGCGGGGAAGATGCCGCCGGCTTTCACTGGCTGCCTCGGGTGCCCGTCAAGCTGCGGTTCCGCCCCTCCGAGGCCGCGCTGCTGCCGTCGCCGGTCATTGGCCCAGCGCTTCCCGTTGGACGAGCGCCGATTGGCTGCGCCGCCTGCGCCAATCACCCGGGGACACACCCCCTCAGCATCCCAGAGGCCGCTTCCTCGGTCGCGGACCCGGAGAGGCGAAGGGGAAACTAGAGCATGATGGCGGCCGAGCTCACTCGGCGCAACCATGGTCTTTTTTTTTTCTTTCTGGTTTTTTTTTTTCAGTTCACGAGTGCCTCGCCCTCGAGCTGTTGACCCTCCGCTGCTCTCTCCACCCAGGACTGCCTAATAACGGAATCTATACGTGCCGGCTGCTTGATTTATCCCCTCCGAAGGGCTGAGTGTGGGCTGCTGGCGCCTCATTGGGCGGCCCGGATGTCACTCGCGACTCGAGTCTTCACGCGATTGGCGGAGCCGCCGGAGAGCCCGCCCCGCAACAAGGGCGACTGCCATTGGCTGCCCTCCACTGAGCTCTTACCTCGCCCTCGATTGGGCGAGTGGGCGCCTCCGTGAGCTGTGGGTTTGCAAATGTTAATTGTTCGCCAGACGGTTTGGGTGCGTCTGGTCGCTGGGCCTGTTAGTGGTCGACGGTAATAAAAACACCGTTTATACTGTCTTCCTAATTTGCTCCCCAGCTGCTGTGCTGAATTCTTTATAGGTGTTATGCTGGGTCAACCTGTGCGTTTCCCAACCTCTGCAATTTTAGGGGACAGTTTAGGAAACCTGCCCAAGGTCATTCAGGGTCGTCGCCGGGAGTCAGGGCTCTCAGACTTCAGAGCTCCGCAAATTTTCATTATGCTTAGTAGCCCAGAGCACTGTCAGCCAGAATCTTAGGAGCGTTTCATTCAAGGACCCGCGCTCCTCTGGCAGTGACAGTGTATGGGGCTAAGGCCATAGTGAGGTCATTGTCTCCAAATCCCTTCTAGCACCCATTCCTCCCCGTCCTCCCTGAGACAGGATGAGATTTTTTTATTTTTTCCCCCTCTCAACAGAAGCCTATCTGCCGCTTTGTTCATTTTCTCGACTTTATAAATAGACCTTTATCCTTGAGTGCCAAGCCTAGCTCCCCCCAACCCAACCCATCCATCCCCAGCTTCCCCCTTTGGAGAGCGTCCTCAAGTGCCTACCGGAAACCAGGAGAAAGAAAGCCTAAGAAATAGAAATAAGGAACACATCTCTTTAAAATTAAATTATTTATTGCATGCAAATGGACCGGCCCTTGGGCTCCTGGACCAGGCCCAGAGTAGCCCTGGAGACTGTGAAAGATGCCTCCTCCTCCGGGCTCCTAGCCATCCTTGGATTCTTTCTCTGTGGCAGGCTTCAGGGAAGAGAATCCAGCATTCCAGCCAGGGGAGGGCAGAATGCTTAGGCCCCGCTGCCAGAGAACCAGCTCTCCAGAGCCTTCGGGACTGAAATGATGTGCAGAGCGGGGGCCTGGACTCCAGCCTGAATTCCAACTCGGGTAATTAACATTTTACCATCTCCAGTCCCCGATCCCTGCCGCCTCAGCGGGATGGCCGCCCTTGTTTCCTTCCTGATCCCCGCTGTTGTGTAACCTCCTTCGCGCTGCTTTAATAATAAAACAACCGCTGTCACCGCTCAGCATTTACAGCCTTTCAATTGAGGACGGGACAGCGTGTCACAAACATCAATTAGGAGTAAGTGGCAGGTATTTTCTAGGGCAACTGCCAGCAGAAGGACCTATCAGGAGTGGCGTGTGACCGGGGAGCCTGCATGCTGACAGTGACAGGCACGTCACCCCACAATGACTGTCCAGCATGAGGGGTTTCTGAAAGAGCGAACACAATGGATGAGAAATAGATCTTAATCCCAAACCTTCCAGCTACATTTTGAGTTGGTTGGTTGGCTGGCTCTTCGTCATCACCCCTTAGGCTAGAGCTGGGTGCATTGTTGGACTCGTCTGTCTCCCAAATCAGTTGTAAGTTCCTGGAAAACAAATGGCGCCTTGCTCATTTTTGTGCTTCTGAATTGCTCTGATTACAGAAAGTCCCAAAATATTCAGTAAATATCATATTATATATATATGGCACATATGCTGCCCGAGTTCGTGTGCTGCTTGTGCCCGCGTGGCAGAGCACATGTGTCGCCCACATCTCCCCTCTTGAGATGTGTACTTTTATGCTTTCCTATCTAATGCTGGGGTGTGTGTAGGAGCTCTCTCCGCCTTTGGAGAAGCCCATGTGTCTCTTGAGCGCGTTACTTTGTCTCTCTTCCTCTCCACTCTCTCCCACTTTCTATCCCTTCTTTCCTTCAAAAACGTCCAAATAAAATCTGTTTCACTTCACTGCTTGTCTACTCCTGAAATTCTTTTCTGCGAGCGATATAAGAATCCAGTAACCCTGGTTTCTAGGTGGCAGAGGCGGATTGGGAGAAAGTGACTGTCTTTCTCCTCCGGAATCATGTGAGCCACCTGTGGGGTCCACTGACATCAGTACTTGGCGAGCCAGCCAGGAGTTTGCAGTGAAGAAATCCATGAGGAAGAAGGTAATCTGGAAAATCTGCTGTGGAGGTACAAGTTTGAAGAGCCCGGCAAGCTACCGAGAGTATCCCGCCTGCATGACAGAGCCTGGCAAGCTACCTGTGGCGTGTTTGATATGCTAAAAACAGTAACAATGACAGTCCTCATTCCCCTGACCCTGAAAGAGTCCCCCAATACGCCATCGGGCTACACTGGCACAAGACAGGGACGAATGGAGACATTGCTGGCACCCGCTCGAGGAAATCGATGAACAACGGGAGGACAGTGACACAGTGATATATATATATATATATATATATATATATATATATATCTGTCAGTCTGTCACTGTCCTCCCGTTGTTCATCGATTTCCTCGAGCGGGCCCAGTAACATCTCCATTGGATATTTCATTGTTACTGTGTTTGGCATATAGAATACATCATGGGTAGCTTGCCAGGCTCTGCCGTGTGGGCGAGATACTCTTGGTAGCTTGCCAGGCTCTCCGAGAGGGGTGGAGAAATCGAACTCGGGTCGGCCATGTTGGCTGCGTGCAAGGCAAACACCCTACCGCTGTGCTATCACTCCAGCCCTATAAAAATATATACATATATACATATATATATACATATATATATGGGTTGGACAGATAGTACAGGGGTTAAAATGCGAGCAAGCCTCGTATGTGAGCCATGCTGCTTAGTTCCCTGGCATCATATGGTCCCCCAAGCATCACAGGGTGCAGTCCTGGGGGCCCTGAGCACTGCTGGGGTGGCCCTGAAGCCTCCTGAGCACACCAGGGTAGCATGGGTAATCCCTGGCATCACAGGGGCCCCCAAACACCAAATCCTCCAGCCCTCAAACAGCGTTTCCGTTCCACCTGCTGAGTTCCTGGGAGGATCCCCAGGCGTCCTGAGCATCACTCCAGAGGCCCAAACATAAGTCAGTAAATACAGGTTATACAGAGTCACGCTGGGTTGAGCTGGGGGAACCGGCAGGCAGGGACCAAACTCAGGGCCTCACTCATGCTAGGCACTGATTCTACCACTGAGTCTTATCCCCAGCCCTCCAGCCCTCCAGCCCTTAGGAAACTTGGAAACCTAGAAATGATTTCCAAGGTACAAGGGCTACACAAGTGACCTAAGAAGCCGCCATGCCGTTGGAGACCTCAGTCTGGTGGGGAGTAGTCAACAGGGACAGAAATGGTGACAGTTCCAGAGGCTGGGCCGCCTGTAGTTGGGGCTGAGGACAAACAGTGGGACTCACAAGGTGGGGTGACCTGCAGAGTTGACAGAACATAGAAGTAATCCAGAGCCACCAAAGCCTGTCCCCATTATAAGCTTTATTATTTTTTTTTTCTTTAGAAGAGTCTCAGCAGTCTATGTTTGGGTACTGGAGAACAGGAAGCTCATTTCCATAAAAAAAAAGGCAGTTATTTTGATCATGAAACCAACCTTGAGCGAAGATTTCATCCCATGCAATGCAGAGATTTTTATTTTTGGTTTATTTATTTCTTGACCACATCCGGCTGTGCTCAGGGCTTACTCCTGGCCCTGTGCTTAGTAATCACCTCCAGGCAGGACTTGGGGGACCCTATGGGGTGCTGGGGATCAAACTGGGTTGGCTGTGTGCAAGGGAAGCGCTCAACCCGCCATGCTATCACTCCACTTCTGTTTTCTTTTGCTTTTTTTGGGGTAAGTACTAGAATATTTATTAATTTGGATTTGTGTGTGAAGGAGTAGCATTTTTTTCATATGTACTATGGATTTCCAGATTTATTGAGACATAACTGAAAAAATGTCCCACACTTAAAGCATGCAGCATAATGGTTTGATATGTGTTTGTCTGCATTGAATATTTGATAAAACGTCCCGGAGGGTCTGAGGGATAGTACCGTGGGTAAGGCACTTGCTTTGCAGGCAGCAGACCCAGGTTCAATCCCCAGCACCGCACATGGTCCCCTAAGCACCACCATTCTTGTGCAGTTTTTTTTTTCCTTTTTGGGTCATACACAGGGGTTACTCCTGGCTCTGCACTCAGGAATTACCCCTAGTGGTGCTCAGGGGACCATATGGGATGCTGGGAATCGAACCCGGGTCGGCCGCGTGCAAGGCAAACACTCTACCCGTTGTACTATCACTCCAGTTCCCAGTCTGTGCAGTTTTAAAGTAGAAAGAGTGCTCACTGATCTTGCTGCCGGTCCAAGCACCTCACAGGACACACCTTCCGGAGTCTGGGCATGCAACCAAGTTCTGCACCCCCAACCACATGGAGTTGCTCCGGTGCAGTCCGGACAGAAGCTGCCTCCCTCGATACACATCCGGGAAGGATCCAGTAGGTCAGCCAGGCACTGGAGGGTAAGGATTCCACATCCCCAGGGGTGCTGATGACAAGTGGCCACCTGTGACTCACCTTCGGGGCATGCCCAGCCTGGTGTGAGGATGGAGTCTGTGAACTGGGGTGGGGGTTCAGGGGGGAGAGGATCTGCTGGCTCACAGCCTGGGCTTTACAGGGCTGCTCTGGGGGCTGCGTAGCCAATCCACATCTTAAAGGCAACCGAGGTGGGTGTGTGATGAAGCGGAGGCATTTGCTTCCTTGTTTGCTCTCGGCAACCTGGGCAGGATTTAGTAGTAGTAATAGTAGTAGTTGGTTCCCAGTTTTGAGCGTCAGAACACTTGTGGTGACAGTGTGCTCATTGGCAGGTCTGATCCCAGAATGCTATGCTATTTTTTTTTCTTTTTGAGTCACACCCAGCGATGCTCAAGGTCACTCCTGGCTCTGCACTCAGGAATTACTCCTGGCGGTGCTGGGGGCACCCTATGGG